GCATCCCCGCTTGGTACGAAGGGGCCAGGTATTCTTCCCCTCTCGGTCTTTCCTCGCGCCGGTGTTCTTTTGTACGACCTGTGGGATCAGAAAACCTCGAAACCCATAGTGAAATTCAGAGGGAGCCCTCCTAATATTCCCTGAAGCTTTGTATATGAGTCTATTCCTTAATAGCATTGCCTCTTTTTCATGCAACCAAATCCGTCACCTGAAAGTGGATACCAATGCCAGTATTGTATACCGAAAGCCGTTTCGATCTGAGGGGTCACCCAAAATATATAGCCTGAAAAGCTAACGTTACTGGTGTTTGATGATGATCAACCGGAATCGGGAATACAACGTCATGCAAAAAGGTAGCATAATATGCCATAAACCGTTAGGTGCCTTATACGCCCACGCACACCGGCAAGAAACAAGCATAGGATAAACGCTCAATAATTGAAAAGTGTTTCCCGGCCTTTCAGGGGATGAACTCGCAGGGGCACACGGTATTGCAAGAAGGAAGGTGTGTAGGGTGAGAAATCCGATGTGTCCTGCGCGTAACTATCGACATGTGACAGACCGATGTTACAAAGGTCGAACGAGAATAGGACATTTGGTGGTCCTCTCGCTTAACTGTTCGATGTACTAGCGGACTTCAAAGTATTTAAGGCGACTACAAACTATCTAAGCTATTAAGCGAACTCAAGTTCGCAGACTAATGCGGCAAAATGTCATACCCCCGTCCGGGTATATCGTGTATCAGACGGCCTAGGTGGAGTATGAAAGCATCACACTAGGAAACTTTTGTATACTATTACTAACAGAGACTGCATTCTTATAGAGTAAACTTGAACGGAAAACAGACGATATTAGTTCGCTCGCGCGAGCCTTATGATATTACGAAGCCCAAACAGCCAGCAAAACCGAAGTCATCTACTATAGAAACTGTGGCAAACTCGTGCGAGCGCCGGCCGATACTGGTTTTTCGCCAAGACTGAGACACGACCTAGTTTTGGACATCAAATCCTGGATCGTTCTAGATTTGAGACTGGGGAATCCATGTAATGGCATGTTTTCTAGGCAGAGCAGGGAAGAATTGTGTGCTTTGATCTCCCTTCCCGTTATTAACGTGCCGCCAAGTGGTTCAAAAGCTAGTTCATCACATCGATTGTTCGTCGAACACCAGGCGTATTAGTTGTCGAGGCCTCAATACCCTTGATAGTGTTGCAGCGAAAGTCTTATACTACCCGGCTGCCCAGATCTTCGGGGTGTTATACTTCCAGGGGACGGAACATATAAACCATTATTCGCAACTTCGACGACGATCTCTACTCCTTGAGTCAAATCGCCCCGCGATTCGATCTTGAGCTTATCTACACAGGCCTGCACAGATGCTCTAACGATCAGTCACCATGTCAGACAATGCTCAGGCTCCGTCGGCGCCAGTCATCCCTAATCCTACGAGTTGGCTTCAAAATTTGGGTATTGCCATAGAGGTGGTATGCCCTGCGCTCGCATTGATAGTCGTCGCATTGAGAACATATATCAGGCTTGATACAAAGACCTTCGGCTGGGGTAAGTGAACAAACAAAATCCTACAGCTAAGGTTCGAGAGGAATGCTAACGAAAACGGTCGTGTAGACGATGGCCTCATCGTGGCTGCAATGGTCTTGAGTCTTGCTATGGCAGGAGGCTCGATTAAAGGTACGAAATTCAAACTCGTCGATAACACCCAACATCGAGACCTAACAGATTGTAGTTATGAAAGCGCTGTACATAGGGATTCACTATTATGATGTCCCTCAACCTTTCGATCCCACCGAGGGACTAATATGGATCTATGTCGTCGGTGCCGTGTACCAACCGATTTTGACTTTAGTAAAGCAATCGGTGCTTGTATTCCTACTCCGTTTCTCGGGTATCAAGGCCGGCGTTCGATACGTCGTCTGGGGCACCATTATCTTCAACACTGCCCTAATGGTCGCTATTTTCCTGGTCGTCATCTTCCAATGCATGCCCATTGAGATGAATTGGAATATAATGGTTCCCGGACACTGCATTCAGCAATTCACATTCGGCGTAGCGGCTGCCTCGTTAACCATTATGACTGATGTTGTCTCTGTGGCACTTCCATTCTATATCTTCCTTGGGTTGAAGATAAACAGGAACAGGAAGATCGCCTTGATCGGTGTTTTCATGTTAGGTGTACTGTGAGTAACCCCTATTTCCACGAGCAGGCGAGTTAGGCTCTGTTCACAAAGTAAGATGCTAACAACCCTCACAACAGTGTCACCATCGTCAGCATAATCAGACTTTACACACTATCGCAAAACTTCAACGACAAGAGCCCGGATAAGAATTTCAGTGTGGGATTTACAGTGTCGAGTATAGAATGCAACCTGGCAATCCTAACAGCGTCTTTCCCGGCTTTGTGGCCCCTTATCAGAAGGATGTTACCGAAGAATCTCAAGTCGTCCTACTACGGCCATCAAAAATACGGCGGCGTGTCACATGCACAACAGGGCTATATCAGGACCACCGATGGACCAGACAGCGGTATTGGGTTGAAGGACATGAACGGCCGACGAATTCGGACCGAAGTTCGATCGCAGAGAGACTCGGATGAGGAGATCCTTACCGGGACTGGCATTATGCGCACTACACAATTCACCGTTTCGACCGAAGATGAGCGCACTCGTGCAGGACGGGGCAAAAACTTTGATGAGAGCACGACACGTTCTAAAGTCTCCAGCAATGGCTCATTGTGAGCTCTAGACTATCATGTATAATAGCAGATGGCGTTATGGAATTATGTGTTTACCCTTCGTCCATCACCACAATTTGTAGCTCGACTACGCATTTTACTTGAATAACTAGAATAAAATCTTATGTTCCAAACTTTCAAACTCGACTTGAGCGTGACAACTATGTTCAGAAAGGGGGACGAAGCACAATTCTATGTGCAAGTACCAGCTTCACAGATTTCCTCCTCGTTGTAGACGTTTCAGTTTCCAATGCTGTAATTCCATACGCTAGCCCATCCCAAGCGTATCGGTATCGCCTTAAATTCCGGAAGGCGGCAGCGGCTGATCCTCAACCTTATGATAGGGCCGTTAGTTTCTTCAATAGTTTGAGACGAAGGTTTGGCGATCGCACGGTCCGCCTTCAAAAGACCCTCTTCGTTCTCGAGTCTTGCTCTGCACAATTCCCAATACATTCAAGATGCCATGAAGCGCCGTCTTTAATCCGTCTATAGTGGCACTGTTATACTTGGACTATTCGTTTTCTGGCGCTATTGCTTCCGACGACCCTATGTCACCTACCATATCGGTTCCTACCAAGGGTCGATCTAGTTAAATCTAGTTAGTCTACGAAAGGGTACCCTTAATTGAGCCTTAAAAGGTCGGCATCATCCGCATATAGCCATAATAAACATGATACACAACTCCGACGGTGGTCTATAAGAGAACAATTATTCACCCACAGATGTTTCGCTACCACCTTGTACTATGCAGATTCTCTACGATCCATCCGAACTAAAAACCAACGATGCTACCTTGACACGCATAAAATGGGCTGCCCCGGAGCTTGGCTCGCATACATAGTTACCCACGAGATGCAACGTAGCGGTCCCTTGAACTAGGCCTTTCTAGTCTAGTACACAAGCGTTCTGATCGGAGGGTCTCCCGACGAGCATGTGACCGAGCGCGGTATCATTATTACCTAGAAAGTTCTTGAACTCGGATACTACGAAGATTTACCGCACACAATACATCTATCCGTATCCACACTTTGTCCAATACGGCTCGGAGACTCTCGAGGCAACGGATTCCCCCTTTTGTAGATTTGGCCGAAGTTTAGTCCTAAAACAACCTCTAAACGAGCCGGGGGTATGATTTCGGTTTTTTAACGAGCACGCTAGAAAAACGACGCCCTTTCCATGCATATTTAACCTGCCTTAGTTGGTTGGTATGAATGTCCCTTCGGATTATTTCTCGTTGCATTGCCCCTGAGCGCCGCATGAGCATAATGCGTTCTAACGTTTACGCAGCTAACACGCAGAATAGTAAATTAAATGCCCGCATACTTCAAAACTACAACCAAAAGCATCATGAAATTCAATAATCTGCCATAAATTCCCAGATACCATTGTTCTGTCAAGTAGCCGCTAAGCAACTCCAGGGCTGGGTCCCTCTATCGATTTCTACACGGGTCTTCTCTCGACCTACCGTTCACGCCCGGCATATCTAGCTGAACGCCGATTCACTAGCGTATGCTTCTTTTGATGATCGTCGTCTTGACCAGAAAGAGAAGCTGACAGAATAGATTGATCGGCGTGACGCGTGGATTTCGACGTCTTGACAGCTCCCATCCCTCCCGTTTCAATTACGTAATCTATAGAACAATTAGCGAGGACCCGGATGGAGGGTATTCTTCAATCGCCATTCTGATGCTTTTTCTTAACGACCAGAAATCTCAAGAAAAGGCATTTGAGATGTAACGAACTATTACAACATGAAAGAAATCAATTGGAATTGTATCATCATTATTATCCCCTCGACTGGCGGAGAATTACAGCCCAGCCCGGTACAACACCCCTGTAAGAGCCATGAAATCTTACGTCTGATTGGTCAAATTCGAAGAGGGTTCTCTTCAGTGCTATTTTCTGAAAGTATGCCTGAGCCGTATGAGGTAGTTGTCTACCAGTCAAAGTGATAGCTTGTCCTATTCTTATGATATGCGATGTAGAATAAACAGTGCCGTAGAGTAATCAAATCCTAACCATACAAGATGCGATATAGTTAAATACCCAGCCAGCATCGTGTATCTTCAGCTGTGTCTTGTGGATAGCTGCCTGATACGACGTATTCATGAGGATTCCGCGCTAAACCACATGGTACGACCGATCGGACAGTACAGTAGAAATTAAGAGGGGCAAAAAATATGGAAGCGAAGCGAAAATAAAAAAGGAGGAAAACATAAGGAAAATAATCAATGATGAATAAATTGGCAAAAAGCGACACAGGCCCGATTCGAACGGGCGCCTCCGAAGAGATGTGATAGACACTCAACTATCGCGGGTAGCGATGGAGAGAAATTCGAGTCACACGCGTTAGACCACTCCGCCACTGTGCCTGTGGGATTGACTTGATAGGTCGATGCTCCTGTGGAGATGTTTAGACGGTCGCTAATTTTCTCCTATAGTTTTGCTTGCCCGGAATTGAGCCGTGGTGCTTGTTTAGCCCGGGGCATATGGATAAGCTTGGAATACGTATCTTAGTCTATTGGTTCTGTCTGCCGTGATTAGTGAAGCATCATTATATTTGAGCTACGGATGTACATATCAAAGAGCAGCGCATTACTTAAGACTCAAGCGCATGTCATTCGAGTACGCGTCTTGTCAGGGTTAGGGTTATGGTAAATGTTGAGGTTAGAGAGTTAGGTGCACAGGTGCGCATCGACATCAAGCTTGATGCTTCTTCAAATACATGTATCTGCTGTCGCTACTTATCCGTTGTTCATTCTGCCCATAGATAAGACTTGTAGATAACTAGAAGTGAGTTGCTCTCTTCTCTCTATTTGGCTACCTAACCCTAACCCTGATGTCAAACAAGCTTAGTAAGCAAGCTATTTCTCACATGTACTTCGAACATCACACCTTGAGCGACCGATAGCCGTTTAATAGGTAGCTTCAATAACATAATTGCTATTTAGTGAATCTATCATAAACTGGCAGACTGCATCATTACACGTGGTATAGACCCATGAATAGGGTGAATAACGCCGCGCGCCACGGTAAAAGGACCCGTATGAGTAAAGGGCCCATCGTTGCTAAACGCAATATACACGGCTCAGCGAAGCCAACGCCGCAAGGAAGCCTCCCCTACTTTTCATTTCAGCCTATACATTTTGAAGAGCCTTTGCACCTTATGAAGTAATTAAGCACGACCTCGCCCCCGGCCCCTACCCCTTCCTCTCCCTCTTCCGCGACCGCGCGTCGCCACGAAACGCTTCTTAGGAGGACCATCACTGATATCATTATAACCATCAGAGTCCGAGTCATCCGAATTACTCTCGTCTGAAAACGATAGCCTAACAACTGTCGGACCGCCCGACTTCCTGGTAGGTCGTTGTGATCCCGGAACTTGGCGTTCTGGCGTGGGACTGGGACTGGGCGAAGGCGAATCCACAGCTTCAGCCTCGGCAGGCTCGAAATCGTCATCGATGAGCTCTTTGCGGCCTCGTTTTGAGCTAGGTCTCTCAGGTTCTTCGACGGCGTTTGATTCCGCCGTTGGTTTATCACCTGCTTTTTCTGCGTCGTCTGCCGTTTTTGCGTCTTGAGCGGTCGTGGCTGCGGGAGTTCCTTTAGCCGAAGTCGTTGCAGGGCTTCCCGTCGCTCCATCTCTCATACGGCGAGAGCCTATCTTGATCTTCCTGCCCCTCAAGGCTGCTCGTTCTCGCATAGACATGAAACGGATGTCAGGGGGTGGCTCTAGGTCATCGGGGTTGGGTGCCGCAGGCGATTGTTGCGCGCGAGGTCGTCCTGGTGGTCTACCCCTACCCGGCGGGCGGCCTCTTCTCCTCACAGAACCTCCGCGAGACGAAGCCGTAGTTAGTCGTGATTGCTCCTCATTTTCATTCGCATTACCTAATTCCCGCGCCAGTTGAGCTTCGAGTTCGTCCACGGTAACATCGTTCTCCTTTTGAGTAGCATTAGCGTCGTCGGCATCCACCATAGTACTGTCCTCGCCCTTTTCAGATTGGTTAAGTAGAGGTTTTCTCGGTCGTCCCGGTGGTCGGCCACGCTTTTTACCCGTAGATGGAGCTGCAGACGGAGGAGTACCAGTTCCAATGGAGCTCCGGGGTGGCCGCCCTCGCCTTTTAGCCCCGGGCTGCGGGGTACTTTGAGCAACGGTCGGGCTCTCTCCTTCGATTGAGGGAAGTTGAGTTAACGCGCGGATTGCATCCGCCGCCAAATCTACAGCGTTTAATTCCTCCTCCGCAGCGCCGTTTTCGCTCTCCGATCCAAATATTCTCAAAGGCTTGATTAGGACAGAATCATTCGGATCCTCAGGGGGCTCTTCGGCTTCCACGTATGATGCCCTTGGTTTGGCATGTCGTAAAGTCGGTCGGAGAGGATCAACAGGAAGAGGCGGCGGTCTCGTCTTCTTGGGGGGAGGAGCTGACTCAGAGGCCTCGTTCGGTTGTGCTTCTGGAATGGCTTCGACCGGTTGTTCGCCGGAATCGCCGGGTTCGCCAGGAGCAGTCACTCTAGTTAGTGTAGAGCTGCTATTACCCAGAGCTCCAAGTAAGGCCGGATCCAAGTTGACAAGTTGGTCAATATTTCCAGTCTTGGGCTTTTTGCGCTGTTGAGTTCTAGGACCCCTAAAATCAGGATCATCCTGTGTCTCAAGTCTTGCCCTTCTCTTCGCAAGCCGAAGCGTCTTTTTGACGAACTCAGATATTTCCGGCTCGTCATTTAAAGCGTCGGCAGATGGCATTTGGAAAGGGTCGAATAAGATTCTATCTGCACTCTCATCCTGGTCATAGAAACCCATTCCCATCATTCGTTCGCGGCCCACCACCGATGGGTCAGGATATTGGGACAGATCAGGGTAAGCAGAGTCTCCTTCACCATTCTGTACGCCAGACATGTCAGCGACCTCAGCATGATTTTCTGGTTCATTCTCGTTGTCCGGTCTATCTGCAGTAGATATATCACCGTTTTCATAGCCATTAGGAGGAGGGTTAGTATGGCCTAAGATGTGGCTTTGATCTCCATAACCATTCATAATTGAATCCTGAAGGGCCGAGTCCACTTCATGAGGAGCGTCGTCTGCCGCATTGAATGATACTGTTGGATCCTTGGCCTTTTCGGCATCTGCCTGTTGCTTCAATCGTTGCATCCGCCTCGTATCTTTGCTCCGATTTTCCTCTCCAGCCGCTTTTAGCCAGCTGAGGTTGTGTACCCGGAAATCGACGATCGATTCAACACTGCGATCGTCTGCGATTGGACGGGTGTCATGACCAAGGAGGGTATTCTTAGGAACGTATGGATTTGTATTGCCGCTCTGTCTGCAAGATCCGCAATTGCAGATATTGAGGCATTTAGGACATTGCCAATGCTCCTTCTCCATCGCCGCCTGAGGCATCATATCGAAAGCTCGCCATAGAACACCATAACAATAGGCGTTTGGACAAGTTGTGCAGAAGCTGAGCTTGTATGTATACTCTTTATGGCAACAGACGTGACAGCGGTACACATCGCCGTGCTTTGCCTTACGTCTCGACTTCGGTTTTTTCTTGACACGGCCCTCGTCATCCACTTCAGGCTCAGATTCCTCAGGTTGAGGTTCGAGTGGCTTCGTGATATCTTTCCAGGGCCGCTTTCGGAGTTGCTCCTGACAGATCTGGGCGACTGATTTCTTGCCCGCTTTCTTCCGTGCAATTTCAATAGGCTGAGGAGATAATTCGAAATCAACAAAGCCATCTTGCTGGATAACCATCGACCTCCAAGTCTCATGTTTCTCAATGAGATCCGACCAGTTCCATTGCTCGCACCACTGTAGGCCGGAAATGCATACACACGAACGACCCATAGCGTAACACTCCATGCAAATATCATATGTGTCTTCGTCGCCGTTGATTAGCGTGCGCACACAACACTTGCAAGTCAAGAAACGGTTGAATATGTTGGATCGGCAGTATGAGCACGTAATGTTCGAGTCGAATGGAACGTACTCGACATTCGTCTGCTTGTAGCCAAACATCTCGTCAACTAGAATCTCGGTAAAAAGACCAAACAAACGTTTGAAGTCATTGGCCAACTGTCTCTTGCGTGACGAATTTTGCATTAATTCTTGACCGAGACCTAACCAACTAACTTCGGAGTTCTCCTCAAATGACTGGAGCTCCTTGTAGTATTTTTCTAAGGTGTAATAGATAATGGCCTTGTTTTTGTATTGCTCATCACGGCAGACCAGTCGCGCCTTTGGCAGGGCCTCGTGAAGGGCCAAGTCGAGTGTTTCAACTGTAGTCCTATTCCATGCGACTTTCATGGTCCTTGTTCCGCGGTTCCAGACCTGATGAGGTGCTAGGGGTGGTATCAGAATAAAGTCGCCAGCCTTTTGCTCGACTACGTAAACTGGAAAGTTGGCCTTTCTCCAAGCATTGATCTGGGCAAAATGCTTCTCGATCTCAATGTCGTGACCGAGCATGGAGAGAAAGTACTCGCGAACAACTTCGCGGTCCTTAGTTTCAGTCATGAACCATATAGAACTACCCGGTTTCTCTCCATTTTCGTCTGTTGAGGCTTCGACCATAATGTTCTGACCCAAGCTCGCGCACATCTCTCGATGCGCAGGGGTATACGTCCCTTCATGGCCGATATAACACATGAGATTCTGCGCGCGCATCTCCTCCGGAAGGCTACTCATCAGATCACCAGCGACAGCAGGAGTTTTCTCCGGCGCACCAAAGATATCGTCATTCCGAGTATCTGCGCCTGGATTCTCGCTGATGTTCTCGTTCATATAGAAAACATTCGGCGGAATGACCTTCTTCAGATGTTCATACCACTCGGGCGGGCAATCTATATCTTTGAGGTAGAGTCGTTGTCGTCGTTCGTCGCGAAAATTAGAAGGGGTCCATTGGTTGGTCAACTGTCGCATGGATCTCAAGTAATGGCCCATAGTCATTGGAATATCGGTCTGCGCAGTTATGTCGCGAACATTCTCCTCTTTCAATACGTATCAGCAGATGCAATCTTCTTTCGCGGCGGGTAGAACTCACGTTTCTTGTCATACGTTTTCTCCAGCCAGGCAGCGCTAAAGAGATCTTCGGGTAGGGCTTTATTCCATCCTTCTACAACTAACGGTCGACCTCCCTCGATAACATGTAGCTGTACAAGCTTCTCGAAGCCAGATGGGCCGAGGCGCCTGATCTGGGCAGTGGAGATGCGCACCACCCAGTCGAAGTTCGGGGAGCGATCAACGAGGCCATAGAGATCGAGATCTGGAGGTATGGGGTCGAATTTGGCTTGGGGATGCAATGCAGTCGGCATTTTCGCGATCGTAGTACGCCCCTAGGGCTGAAAGTGCGAAAGTTGAGTTCGCTGGTTGAAGCTGTGAGGCAAC